CACTGAAAACCAATTAGCACAGATTAAGTTGCTTATCAGACTAATTTAGAACAGCGAGCTCTGTCATATTTTAATGCTCAAAATCGAGGACTATTTAAAATTGCCCATCGACCAACCTAATACATTGTGAAGTAGCAAGTGTTTAAAAATTCACCATACAAACCAAATTTGCATTCATTTTTTTCCTTTTTATGACAAGGGCCTGATCCTTCAGCAGAGTAGGGTCTCCTAAACAAGTAACGTTACTTTTGAATCTGAGCGTACGTAAAAACTGCATCATCTTTTCTGTTAATGGTTTCCCAAATTCTGGCTTCATTGCTGAAATTTATTATTGGCAAATCTCAGTGTATGGCAAATTCAGTCATGGTTTTTCATTCTAGCCAGCTGAGAGTCTGCAAGACTGGGTGTTATCTCAGCACCATGAAGCAGCTTTGAGACAGAATGCTTGTTGTCATTTCATACGGCGCTGCTGAATTCAAGAAATGTCCAGTTTCTGCTAAAAGTGCTTGCAGATTCTGAATGGCTGTAGGGATTTCCAGTTAATTGCCAGTCCAGGCTGCCTGTGTGACCAGGAGTGTCTCTTTTGACTGGCAGGTTTTTACCAAGTCATTTAAGATTTGAAGTATTTGAGCTAGAAGTTAGTCGGGCTAATACTGTTCTCTGTGAAATATTAATCCTGAGAAAATTATCTGTACTCTCCGGATCACATCGCATCTCCCTGTGTGAAATATTCACTTGTGCAAGTGAGTGACAGCAAAAATGGGTATGTCCTACAGCAGCTAGCTTACCGTGCCTCCGCAGGGATGTATTTGAGAGTGAAACTCATTTTCTAGCTCGGGTCTGTAAAGATTTGCAGTTAGTCAAGCACAAGTCAATGGGTAAGTGGGAACACCAGTCCACAGCTGGTCAGTGATCAGCCCTGGCTGCTCTGGAGGAACCCACTGGGCTCCTGCCTAGGAGAAGATGGTGTGCACGTACGGTTTGTGTCCTCGGCTGCTCTAAGTCAGCTGCGGCTACTCCAGCTGAGGGTCTCAGCCCCCCAAAAGTCAGTGAGGCAATGGGTGAAGTTTGTTAGGAACTGGGAGCCTTATTACATGCAAGTATTTTAACTTGTCTGAGTAACACCATGGTAAGTGGGTAGCCAGTGAGTACAGGTACAGGCTGTCCCTGCACTCGTTTTGGAAAGCATGCCATGAAATACCCCCAGCTCCTGCCTTGGGCCTTCTGCAGTCCTTTGCAAAGTGGAAGTAGATGGTTGTCCTTTTAAAGAAAGAATATAGGGTGTTCTACACCAACTTTTGACACATGCAAAGTATTTTCAGAACGACCAAGAGGTCAGACCCACAGCTTGTTTGAGTTGAGTTTGGAAATACAAACAATTGGCAAAGATTTTTGGCCTTTGTTATTCCATTTGGTGAAGTTGTGTAGGCTGGGGAGAAGCAGATACAGGAGAGAGTGTCATAAATAATCTGTTAGCTGGTGTAATGTAGCAATTCGTGGTATATCTGTCTTCCAGAAGTCAAGTAATAGTTATTCATGTAAAATACAAAAGTTGAGGTCTAGCCAGAAAGGGAAGTGTTAATGTCTTACGTTTCTGCTGACATGCTCAGCTTTGCAGGTCTGATTCCAGATCATCTGGGTCATTAGTAATGGTCTCTCCAGGAAAAAAAAAAAAAAAAAAAAAACCACAAAAACCAAACCCACAAAAAAATAGTCACAGGGGAAAATCCTTGTTAGCAGCCTTTCATGAAATGG